ATCCAGTTTGAAGCTGGCCGAATTCGATTCTGAACTCCATTAAAGGCAGAAGAAATTCTCATTTAAGAGAGGGAAAAATGTGTGCATAATTAGATCAGAGTTTGTAGAATAATGGAAGGGACCTTGGAGGTCTTCTAGTCCAACCCCTTGCTCAAGCGGGAAACTCTATATCATTCCAGACAAATGGCTGTCCAACTTCTTCTTGAAGATCTCTAGTGTTGGAGCTTCCACAACTTCTGGAGGCAAGTTGTTCCACTGGTTAATTGTTCTGTCAGGAAATTTCTCCTTAGTTCTAAGTTGCTTCTCTCCTTGATTAGTTTCCACCCGTTGCTTCTTGTCCTGCCTTGAGGTGCTTTGGAAAATAGCTTGACTCCCTCTTCTTTGGGGCAGCCCCTGAGATATTGGAAGACTGCTATCATGTCACCCCTAGTCCTTCTCTTCATTAAACTAGGCATAACCCAAACCCTGCAACCATTCCTCGTACACTTTTTTTTGTCTCCAGTCCCTTAATCATCTTAATTGCTGTTCTCTACACTTTTTCCAAATTCTCAACTTTGCAGTGACCAAAACCGGATACAGTATTCCAGGTGTGGTCTTACTCAGGTTTTATAAAGTGGTACTAATACTTCACGTGATTGCCCAGAATACGATGCTATGCTACTTGAAACACACAAGTTAAATTATGTCTCATTTTACAGGCAAACTGGAACCCAGCTGTGCTAGGCATTTCTCTACGTTCAGATGGCTTTATAACAATTTGGACCTTGTCAAGCTGTTAGTTCTAACACAACAGCGTGGAAAAAATAATCATATTAAAGTTGGGTAATTTCTTTGCGGACTGAAAACTCAATTAATTGCTGGAGGGCATAGATTTAATCTGACAAGTTCCCTGAATTAATTCTTGTTTCTTCTACTTCAAAGCTGCATTAAACGAGAGCCAGAAAAACTTCCGTTATTTTTTTTCCTTCAAGATAATTACATGAATATGATCAATCTAACATTTTCTGCCAGCCCAATTTACACTGTGGTCTTCCAGGAATCCATAAACACCAATTTTCCACTTTTTCAGTTGTGATTAGTGACCGCATCATCTCTGTAAACAAACAGGAATTCTCCAGAGGACATTACAGGATGAAGTTTCCATAACAACTTTGAGATTGCAACCCATCAGACCAGACGTTAAGAAGATACACCACTTCCTTCGTCACACTAAGAGTCGGTTATTCCGCATTTAATAAGTGAGAAACCACACTGGGTGATCGTAATTGGGGGAAATTTATTCATTTTAAAGCAATATGCTCACAAACAATGAGAGCTTCTTGACTTCATTCATTTCTACATGTGTTTTTTCGCCCATCCTAAGCCCCCAAATTCATCACAATGAAGCAGAATTTAAATAGGCCATAGCTCTCATTGTAAGGTCCTTGGTGCTGCCTGAGCTTGGTTGGTTTTTGCAGACATTTCATGACCCAGCTAGGTGATATCATCAGTTATAGGAAGGAAGGGGTTTTGTAGCTCCTAGCACTGATGATGTTACCTAGTTGGGTCATGAAATCTCTATAAGTAAACAACCAAGCTCAGACAACACTGAAGACACCACAATTCTTCTTCTTCTTCTTCTTCTTCTTCTTCTTCTTCTTCTTCTTCTTCTTCTTCTTCTTCTTCTTCTTCTTCTTCTTCCTACTCCTCCTCCTCCTCCTCCTCTACCAAGAAAACAACTAAATTCAAAGAGCACCAAGGACCTCACAGTTCTCTCCCTCCCACTCCTCCTCCTCCTCTTGATAATATTACCTAGTTGGGTGATAAAACATCCACAATATAACCACCAAGCTCAAATAGCACCAAGGACCCACAGTCATTGCCTTCCTCCTGCTTTCCTCCTCCTCCTCCCCTCTGCACAACCCACTCTCTCGTAGCACTGACAATGTGCCCTAGTGGGGTCATGAAACATCTGAACCAGCAACCTTGGAGAACACCAGGGACTCCACAATTCAACCCTGAGGTACAAATATTCTTTTCCATCCATGTCTCGGGTTGCCCCAAATCTTGTCCATGCCAATTCTCAACCTACACCTGGCATCCAGGTCCCAGTAGCCTTCGAGGAAAGCTTTGCAGAAGGCGGGAGACCAGAAGAATGGAAGTCACGTTATGGTGTGTATGACCTCTGAAATATATATTTATGGGACCCATGATTACAGATTGTTACACCATCTTGTTTATCTGTTTCTGGAGCAGCCAGGAGTGACAATATCGAAGCTACAAAGTTGACCGTCTTTTGTCCATCTGGTTTCACATTAAATGGCCCCCTAGTGTCCATCCTAATGAAAAACAGACTATCCTTGACTTACGATCTGTCACTTAGTGAACCTTCAAAGTTATGACGGAAGGGTACTTATGACCCAGTTACAAATTTCCAATATCTACCTCCTTGACCGGACATCTGGCCCTTGCAACTGGACTGCATTTACGTCCTGCAGTCACATGACCACAATTTATGACAGTTTGGCCCAAAAGAGATGCGTACTTCTAGTTTCCAGCGAAACTGCCCCTAGCAAACGATTGGTTCGCTTAACGACCTTGCCGTTTACTGAGCAATCATGATGCTGGTCTTATCATCGCTGCAATCATTGAACAGGCACTTGGGTCGAGTGCCTGATGATTTTGCTTTACGATTTTCACAATTTACGACCGAGATTGTCAATGACGATCGTAAGTTAAGGACTACCTATAGAGAAAGGTAATAGTCAGCCATTTCATACTTTTTTCTATAACCTGCTTGCGACTGAAATGGTGTCCTTATATTTGATCATTTCCATTAAAACCAAAGGTCTCCAAACTTGCTAACTTCTTAAGATTCGTAGACTTCAACTCCCAGAAATCCCCAGCCAGGGATTTACATGCTCCTAAGCTGTCATGTAGAACTATTTTTGATGCCACAGGTTTTTGTGCATTTTGTAGCATATAGCAATCCAAAAAGTAACACAGTCTTCATGGTTGAAACACGAGTACACAGAAGCAATATCTTAATGCAATGGCGGTTTGCGAGATGAGTCAAGGCGATGATGTTTTACCAAAATACCTGTAAAGAGCAACAATAGAGAGCTAGTACCCATGGAAAGCAATTATGCAGCCACTGGGTTCACTAAGGATTGTTTGGGCACGGACAGGTAAGAAATATTTAACAAGGCAGCGGTGAGCATCTCCACACGGTTAAAACACAATGGCAAAACAGTCCGAACACAACCAGATTGTCCACTACGCATATAACCAAGGCTACATTTTTTTAGAGGGTTGAGCAAAGCATATCGATAACCCTCGACTTGCAATCATTTGTTTAGTGACCGTTCGAAGTTACAACGGCACTTTAAAAAGTTCATTTCTCACAATGTTGCGGCATCCCCGCAGTCAAAATGGAGGCGCTGGCATGCATTATGATGGTTCCGGTATCCCGGTGTGTGTGTGTGTGTGTGTGTGTGTGTGTGTGTGTGTGTGTCACTTGATCCTCTTTTGTTAACTTCCTTCAAGCCAGATTCACTTAACAACCGTGTGTCAACTAAAAAAATACCGTACTTCTTTGGTCTTTTTAGTTGCCAGCAAAAAGGGAGTGGGGAAAAGAAGTACATTCCTTAAATGCTTTAGATAATTGCTAGGCAGCTGAAGCTGTTGGCGCGCAAGATTATTACTGGAGAGCATGACTGATGACTCTTGGCTATGGATGTGTCCCATTAGAAAATATACATCCAGGGGGTGAGGGGAAGACCAGGGTCAAGGGGGAAATGAATGATGTATTTTAGTGTCGGCTGCACCCAGCTAACGCCGACATGGTCACTCCTAATAAATCAATTTCTTTTACTCTGAGAGATGTGGCTAGAGATTCATTACTTGACACCGTGTTACTATCTTGATTGCAGCAATTCACTTAACAGCTGAGGAAAGGAAGGTTTTAAAACAGGGCAAAACTCACTTAATCATTGGCTTGCTTAGCAGCAGAAATTTAGGGCGCAGTTGTGGTCATAAGTCAAGGAGAAAGTGCATTCTGGCAGCTACAGTAAGGCAGAGAGAATTTCAAACTTTTAACGCTGAATGCCGAGCTTTTCATTACAGATAGTTCTCTAATTATTAGCGATGATTTAGTTCTCAAATCATCAGGCAATCGACCCATCTAATTAGCACCAGAATCTCCATGACTGAGCAAGGAGGTTGTTAAGTGAGCCATACCTTTTTTTTTAAACGATCTTTTTTTCACCACAGATCTTACCCGAATCATTCTAGCTGTTATGTGAGTCACACGGTCATTAAATGAATCTGGCTTCCCCCATTGACTTGGCTGGAAAAATTGCAAAGGGCTTTCATCCCATCACCCCAGGCACTCTGCGTCCGCCATCAATCGCCTGGTTGTCCAGTGCCCGAATTTTAATCATGTGACCATTGGGAATGTTGCGACGGTCTTAAGTGCGAGGACCAATTATAAGTCACTTATACAATATATCCCTTACACAATATTTAACATATCGCTTAACATCAAAAATGGGATGAGGTGATTCTGTTGTGGATGAAAGCTTGAAGAAATGGCGATGGATCACCAAGCTCGGAGTTGAACCTGGGTGGAGATTTGTACTTTCGCTATTCACATGTTCGGTGTTGATCAACTTTAGCCGCTTGAAGATGCCTGGAGTTCAGCTCCCAGAATCCCCCTGCCACCATCTGTGCACTTCAGATCCCAGAATTCCCTTTCTGGCATTCATGGACTTCAACTCCCAGAATTCCTCAGCTATCATCTGTGGACTTCAATTCCCAGAATTCCTCATCTGGCATGCATGGACTTCAACTCCCAGAATTTCCCATCCGGCATGCATGGACTTCAACTCCCAGAATTCCCCTGCCACCATCTGTGGACTTCAACTCCCAGAATTCCTCAGCCAGTCTTGCTGGCTGAGGAATTCTGGGAATTGTAGTCCACCTATCTTCAAGCGGTCAAGGTTGAAAAACGCTGGTTTCAATTAATTCTTAAACATCAGGTTTGTCACTTTGATTCCGGAAGCGGTGGGCATCGTCCATTTGGTCTTCCTCCTCCTAATGGGCATCATAAATTCATAATTGTTGCCTCGCCATTTCCGGCATACTTCTGCTTGTACCTTGAAAACAACAGTAGGCGCCATTACTGCAGGAATCATTATTTATTAGCTTTATAAGGTAATCCTTGACTTATGACCACCACTGAGCCCAAAATTTCTATTGTTAAGCGAGACCGTGGTTAAGTGTGTTTTGCCCCATTTTACGGCCTTTCTGGCCAGAATTGTTAAATGAGACATTGCAGTTGTTACGTTAGTCACACGGTTGTTAAGTGAATCTGGCTTCCCCATTGGCCCTTTTTGTCAGGTCGCAAAAGGGGATCACACGACCCCGGGACACTGAAATTGACATAAAAACATACAAGTTGTCAAGCAACTGAATTTTGATCATGTATGTGGAGAATGGTGTGGTGATCACAAGTGTGAGGATTGGTCATAAGTGTGAGGACCACTCATAGCTATCTTTTTTTTCAGTGCTGGCCACTAAAAGAATGGTTGTAAGTTGAGGACTACCTATAACTAGAAATAGGTACCGAAGTTAATAATGAAATACAGGTAGTCCTCGACTTACAACAGTTCGTTTAGTGATCAGTACTGAAAAAAGCGACTTAAAACCATTTTTCACACTTACGACCGGTGCAGTATCCCCATTGTCACCTGATCAGAATTTGGACACTTGGCAACTGACTCATATTTATGATGGTTGCAGTATCTCAGGTATCCCAGCAATGGGGGAGCCAGATTCACTTAACGACCGAGTTACTAATTTAAAAACTGCCGTGATTTACTTAATAACGGTGGCAAGAATGGTCGTAAAATGGGGCAAAACTCAATAAACATCTTTCTTGCTTAGCGAGATAAATTTTGGGGTGAGTTGTGGGCATAATTTGAGGGCCTCCTGTATTATTTATACGCCACCCAATTCACTCCAGCCTAGACTAACGGAGGACTTTATAATATATATCCCCCCCGCGCCCCCACGGATCTGTGTTTTCTTAAACCTCGCCCAATGTGTTTTTGGTCTTCCTTGAGATTGATTGATTGATTCATTATAGGTTGAGAAGTCATTTTCGACTCCTAGCAACCACATAAATAGATTTTCTGCATGACGACGTTCGTTTGAGAGCTACCAAAATTTGCCTCATCCATCTCAAGTTCAGGACAGAGGCACTCAAAACAGTAGGAGAATATTTCTCAGCCTTGGCAAGTTTAAGATGTGTGGACTTCAACTCCCAGAATTCCCTAGCCAGCATACTGGACTTCAACTCCCAGAATTCCCCAATATGTGGACTTCAACTCCCAGAATTCCCCAGTATGTGGACTTCAACTCCCAGAATCCCCCAGTATGTGGACCAACTCCCAGAATTCCCCAGTCAGCGTATCTGGACTTTGATTCCCCAGAATTCCCCAGTCAACATATGTGGACTTCAACT